CACCGAGGTGATAACAGAGGCAGGCCTTAATGGTAACTCTGAAGAATGGTGGTTGGATATTGGCGCCTCAAGGCATGTGTGTGATAAATGAGCTAAACTCAATCATACATTGAGGTGTATCGAAGGAGAAAGTGGAAATGAATCTTACGTTTAGAAATTCGTTAGCTATGCTAGACGAACGGAATGATTAAGTAAATTATTCTGTGGCTTATGTGTCCTAGTGAAGAATTAGAATATTAGAGGTCACATTCCCATATTTCTCTTGAACGCTTGAGATACATATGAATTTTGTATCCAAGTTAAATAACCCATAAATATGTGGTTAGAAAATCAGAAACGATAGATCTGATTTATTTTGATATGGATAAACGTGATAGAAAGATAATAGATGATTTATTGCTCTATAGGGTGCTATGATAGGTTGTCTGATAATTTGAGTTGCTTATTTGAAATGACTTGAAATGTTTTATTGCGTAAAGAGTTCACTAATTATTTGATATGTGCTGCATGCTTGTGGTAGAAGAATCAGTGTAATATGATGACTAGTAGAGCATATGAATGTGTTAAACAATATTAAAACACATAAACCTATGAAATGAAATACTCATTATGTTGAATCCATGGATGCCAATAGACTTCCATTTAAAATAAAGAGATAGTGGGGGTTGTATCCCACCTACTATTAGAAATAATGGAACTAGTGGGGGTGGTGAATCTGAGTATGAACTCAGAAGAAGCAAATGAACCATAAATCGGTAAAGGATTTTGGTTATGAATTTGTTAATTACACCCTAAGGAAGATCCTACAAGTCTGCTAGAAGTTCAAACTTCTGTAAAGGTGCAGATTTTTGGGAAGAAGCCATTATTAATAGAATGGAATCATGAGAGTCTAATAAGACTTAGAAACTTGTAGAGTTACCTTTTGGTGGTAAAGCCTTAGGTAATATATCGATGAAATCGATAAGATTTGGCATCTTTGAGAATTACCTCCTGGCAATGAAGCCTAGGTAATAAACGAATTCTTAAAAGGAAAACTAAAACCTGATGGTTTAGTTTATGAGTATAATGACCGCCTAGTAGCTAAGGCTTTAGGTGAAGAGGGAAAAAATAGATTTCTTTGATATATATTCACCAATATGTAGAACAACATCCATCAAATGGATGTTAAAATTCTTTTGTGAATGGTGATTTGAATAAAGAAATCTATATTGAGACAACCTTAAAGGTTGTTATTCTTGAACATGCTTCTGGAGTCTATGGTTAGACAAATCATTATATGATTTGAAATAGACTCAAAATTAGTGGCATGAGTAATCAGATTCTCTCTCATGGTTTTAAAAGTGAAAGTGACAAGTGCATTTAGTATAAATTTGAGAATGACACTTGCATTATGAATGACGTCGATCTTTTGGTACAAAGACTCGTGATGTCAATATTGTAAAACCATGATGGTTGAGAATTTTGAATGTGAAGGATCTGAATGAAACAAATGTTATGCTTAGAGATCCTAATAACTAGGAAAAATACAAGATTTACACATGCATACATGTTTGATGATGCTAGTATAAATATTTAAAGAACACCTAAGACGGTGTAAGAGAGTTAGAATATACTAGCATTTACAGTCTGCGAGAGGCAGCTAATAAACATGAGACCCGATTTAGTGGGGGGGTACTTGGCAGGCTTACTGATTGTCCTAGTTTGAAGCATTGAAATGCTATTGAAAGGGGTCATTAGACACCTTAAGAACAGTAGACCTTGATATAAGTTACCAACGGTTTCTAGCTGTATTGGTAGGGTATATTAATGCGGACGAGAATACCCTGTAGAATATTCCAAGGCATCCAGTGGACATGTTTTAAACATCGCTGGAAGAGTTGTGTCTTGGAAGTCTATGAAGTAAACGATCCTGGCTCAATCACCTAAGAAATCAGAAATGATAGAGCTAGCAATGGCTAGTAAAGAGAAAAGTTGATTGAGATGGTCATTACTATAGATTCCGTTATGGGAAATACCAATCCCTCCGGTAGTTGATTCATTGTGATAGCACCGCATTTATTGCAAAAGAAGGGAACCGGTTCTAGAACGAAAAGAGAAGACAAGTTCGTCTTAAGCACAGTACTGTAAGAGAACTCCTAACGATAGGAGCAATGAGGGTGGATCATGTAAGGTCCTAACAGAATCTAGCTGATCCTTTGACAAAAGGATTATCTAGAGAGAAAAGTCCAAAATACCACGAAGGTTTGGGACTTATGCCTACCGATCGAACCACGGACTACAAGTGATGGTAACCCGACCCAATAGACTGGAGATCCCAAGAAATGGGTTCAATGGGTAATAACAAGTCATGAGTAGTATGCGAAAAGTTCATGCATAGTGAAGCATGAATCCCAAAGCCTTGGAGGTTGAGTTAAACTCTTAATGAGATCTATACTCTATGTGGAGTGAAGTACTTTACTTTGGGGGTACTTCTGATAGACTCACCTATGTGAATGTGGGAGTGAGGACACTCTCTATGGAACTTTGGAGGCACAAAGTTGCTAGAGCGTTCACTAAACCGGGATAACGTGCATGGCCATAAACGCACGGCCTATGAGAGAATATCACTCAATGAAAAGATCTGGTGTGCTACATTGTCTGAGATAGGGTTCAAGACTACGAGTCACCCTCATGAAATCGGAAATGTAACCACTACGCTAAGGTTCAAATCTTCGTGATACCTTAGCTTATGCCCGATCTTATGGAACTGTTAATGCTCAGAGATAGTTTCAAAAATATTCAAGTGGGGGATTGTTGGGATGAATAGTTTAGAAAAGCTATAAATGAAATTCTTAATTAATTATCCAGTATTTTCCCCATAATACGAAAATAAGATGGATAATTAATAAAAAGAATATTATGGAGATAATTAGGAATAATTATCTTAATAGATTATATTTTAATTATGGGAGTAATTATCTCCCTAATTAAAATGTGACTTATTCCCAAAGAAAGAGGGAATATTCTGGGGTTTCTGCTCCTATAAATAGGAGACGCCTCAGACCCTCTAAACACACCTCAGCAGAGCAGAAACATGAGAGAGAGTGAGTTCATAGAGCTCCGGTTTTCGCACAAAACCAATGAGCAACAAATCAAAATGGCTTTTTTATCCTGGAGGTGATCGGCTGATAGTCTGTTGTGCAAATTACGAGGCAGTGCCGCGAACGTCTTAAAGAGAGCGACCTAGTCTGCGACTCAGCCAGATCGGTAACCCTAATTTTTCTGTTCGGTTTCTAATAGTAGGTTACATACTTCACGGCCGAATCTTGTGCCAAAGCTAATCGATGGCCTAAAAGCTAGAACTTGACATTTTCCCTTGTCAAAACAAAGTGTTCACAACATTGTAATGCAAGACACACTGTAGTCTAAATAACATGTACATTTGGTTTTAGATGGGAGGTCTAAGGTTCGATTGTTGCTATAAGCAACATTTAAAATTCAATAAGTTTTTGTGTAAAAAAAATTCAATAAGTTTTGATTCTAAACCCAAAATTTCCATTCTTTACGATTGGGTACAAAAAAATTACAATTTGGTACATCTTTCTTTTATTATGATGAAATAGGATTATTATAACAAGACCGGGGAAAAGAAAAAGACCCCAAGAAGAGAACAAAACAACAGAAAATAAAAACAATGCTCGGAGGCCATGGGGATAGAAAAACAAGGGCAGACAAAAAAGACAAGGGAAAGCTGTGCAAAGTGCAACCAAAACGCAAAAGACAGGAGGAAGCACTAACAGGAAAACAAGGAAAGAAAAAACGAGCGCGGCCAAAATGCCGCTCGAGACCAGACGGAAAGTTTAAGGCAGAACGAGGAAGGACTCTGGATTTGAGATTGAAAATCCAATGCTCAGCCATCTGTCGGTCAACTCTTTCGGCCACCACAAGCCATTCCGAAATGGCCTTCCCAATTCAGAACACAACGCATGGGACGTCCCTGCTTCTGCCATTAAAAATTCTGGTACAGCTTTTGCCCAAAAATTTCATGCCTTATGGTTTGGTATCTAACTTTTTCATTTTGTTACATCTTTTGCTCATTGTCTTACAATTGGGCTAAATTACATGTTTGGTCACTCAAATTATACGAATCTTTCACGTTTGCCACCCGAATCACTTTTCTTTCTTATTCGCCACTAACTATACAAATCGTTTCACCATTAGTCACCCGCCGTCCAATTCTGTTAAAATCATCCTACGTGGCAGTCAACTAAACCCTTTGACCGTTAGTTTGATGACGTGGCAATTAAAAATAAATAATTAGTTCATTACCTCCACGAAACCCTTTGTGAATAACTTTATTTGAACTAAATCATTAAATAAGTAGATTAAATTTTATTATAAAAATAAATAATTAGTTCATTACCTCCACGAAAACGCGGGCAAAAAAATTAGTCATATATTAGTATTTAGAAAGTACATGGGCACTTAAAGTGTTTAAGGCTTTAAGCAATGGCATTAGAACCGAATCAGAGTATGAACCAATGTAGTGAGTGGTTTGTATTTTATTGGTTAACCGATACAAAATCATTAAGAACCATTAACAAACCGATACCTTATAATAAGGGAAACATAACTTATTCAGATAAGAATGATATGATAAATACGAACAATGACTTGGTCTAGTGGTAATACGACTAATCTAGAACCTGGAGGCTCCAGGTTCGAGTCCCCTAAGTAGTACCATAATTACAAACAAGAAACCTATAGAACCCTTATAAAAAAAGAATGATATGATAAACATAAGGGCTAATACCACTTAAAAATCCGAACTATAAAAAAAGGGTTAAATTGCAAGTTTGGTCACTTGAATTAATAGTAAAGTTCACGTCAACCACTAGAGTTACTTTATTCCATTTGTAGTCACTTAAATTAGGTTAACAGTCCAAGTTTCATCAATGGCCGTTAAATGAGTGACGTGACAATTTTTTTTTAAATTATCTATTTTTATTTTCCACCTAGGGTTATTGATGACGATGTCTTACATCTAGAAGGAGTTGAACCTGTGGAAGTCCCACGACTGAGATATTAGGCCGATGGAAGAGCGTTTGTGGAACTGCAGGAGGTCGGGGTCTCCGCCGTAGTACCTCTCCCACCCGAGCCCGAACAAGATGTGCTCCAGCGACGAGTACGAGGTCACCGCCTGCCCGCTGGGCAGGTGCACCAGCACCTTCCACCTGTTGCTGCTTGTAACAACCCTGTACAGTTGGCAAGGGATGACGTGGAACTCATTGACCAATGTATAAATAGCAGAACTCACGTTGTGGTGGGGTATCTTTGGAGAATAAACACCTTGTAGCTACTTTACCAATTTGTAGTTAGTAGATAGATAGAAAACCAGAACTCTTCCTTCCCACTTGTATCTTCTTCTTCGCCATTTCTTAGCCGGATTCGTTAGTAAAGGTCCTTACAAGTGGTAATCAGAGCCTATCATCTGGCAATAATGGCGTCTAATACATCGAGAATCATTGTTTTGGAAATTCAAATGGCGGCTATCAAGCAGCAGATGGACTCACGGCACCGGGATTTGAAGGCCGCCATTGCTGCTCTTGCGGATTCAACGAAGGCCTCCATCGATGCTCTTACTGATTCGTTGGAGCAACGGCGGGACGTTTCTACGGTTCGTTCTCCATGGCACGCGTCTCCCAATCAGTTCGCCGATCCACAGCCGTTCAGTCCGCCGCCGCGTCAATCGTGGGTTCTGGATCCTCATGTGATGGTTCCTTCTTCCACCGTCTCCGGGCAACCTGCCTCGATCGCCGACCACCAGGTTCCTTCTCCAACCTTCAATTGGGTTTCTCTCATGTCTACACCAACACCGAAATCCCTAATTCCTTCTGTTGTTTCTTCTTCGGGAATTCAAGACCCAAATCCCTCTTATCATGAACCACCGCCGTTTCCCTTGCCTTCTTTCCTAACATCTTATGCCCCGTTGCTTTCTCCTTCGGCAGTTGTTGCATATCCAATCGATTCTTGTGCTTATTCTCTTGTTGGTTTGTCGACTTCTGAACCCTCAACTCTGTTGGATAATTCTCCTTTCCCGGAGAATACTTCTACTCCTCAAATCCATTCATTCCCCAACCCCGTCGTTCACACTTCCTCCCCTGGGGATCCCCATGACATATGCGCACGGAATCTTGAATCTTTAGTTTCTCGTGGGGCTCGCAGCATCTGTGACAGTTGTGATAATTTTTCTATTCGTGTTTTTCCTACAGTGTTTAGTTTTGGATTCCAGGACTGCCATTTTCCATTGATGCACTCTAAGTTGAATTACGGGGTTCGACTTTGTTGGGGTTATGGTGAGACTTGTGTAGCTTATACAAGGAGAGAAAAATATCCTTGTTTCAAGGCTCCATCCTTGGGTTGCAATATGGCGATCTTCAACTCCAGTGTCAAGTATGGGTTTCAGATTTTCCCAACATATTATGCGGTTCACCTGAATTCTCATGTCGGGTGCACTTATGCTGATTTTAAGGGCCCTTACAAGGATTATGAAGAGCATGTGGGTGATGTTGAGCATGTCCAGAGGAAACAGAATTATGGTTTGAGTGAGCGAGATTATGGTTTGGATGTTGTAGGCAGTGAACCTGTGAGGGCTTTGGTCAGCAGGGTACAGAGAGAGAGGGAACATTGTGCTGATGGAGAAGGTGGTGCTGAAGTTAGTCAACAGGATACTACTGCAAATCAGAATGCAGGGTCTAGTTCAATTGTTGAAAACGTGCCAACTGTAGCAGCAACAAAGCTAGCTAGGGAAAGAGCGGATCATGCTGATCGCACTGTCTTTGCATTCTTCCTTTGGGACTATTCCACAGTAATTGAGTTCGTAACATCACTTCTGCAGCGGCAGCATCAAGCAGTTTCCATTGAAGAAGAGGAGCATGCTCTTAACGATCTGACATGTGGGGCTCACTTCGTTGTAGCTAGCAGTAGGGATTGCCATGGGTTGAGCAGTGATTGTGGGAAGCAACAACTTTATTGTTGTCTACTACTCCTCTTGTGGGCATCTGGTTCAATTACCCATTCAAATGGGAATTGGGAAATGTTGTTTCCATCTCATGTTAATGCTACTCAACCTAAGCATTTTTGCCTATCCTTTTTCCATGTTAACAGGAGGGACTTTGGGCTGCAGTCCACGTCAGACAAGGGTTTTATGATCCCGGAGGAACATGGTTGCATAGGTGGAGAAATCACTATACAATATGCTCTAGTACACTTTGTTACATCTGATTGGTTTGCCCAACTTTATGGTGGCAGTTTGTCTATTCTTTCTGTTGCTCTTGGATCCATTTCCTTCATAACTTGCAGTATGTGGATGATGTTTCCCTTTGAGGCCTTGTATGGCTTTCCTCCGGTGTTCTTTGGGCTTGCTGATCATCTTACTTCCTCGGTAGGGGCTGTTGAGTGTCGTTTGTTCAGGCGGCAACAGTTGGTTCAACTGTTGACCCATATAATATCACTCAAGCGCAGAACATCCAGAAGCGATATGCAGATAAGAAAAGGTCTGAGAGGATACTTCAGGTGGGTGACTGGGTTTATCTCCGTTTGCAGCTTTATTGCCAAGGTTCGGTGGTGGGAAGACATGGCAGCAAATTTGGGGCCTCGTTTCTTTGGACCTTATAAGGTTCTCGCAAAGGTTGGGAATGTTGTTTATAGGTTGGAGCTGCCACAAGATTCGAAGGTGCACCCGATGTTTCATATCCCTCAACTGAAGCTGTGTAAGTCCATTGTGCCTCCAGCCACTTAACATCTTCCGGAGACCTACACCAGAGGGATCTTGAAGCTTGCTCCAGCTCAAATTATGGCGGCGCGGTCTGTGAATCGGGACAATCGGGCTGTTACTCAAGTCCTGGTCCAATCGGGCTGCTACTTGGGATGATTTATAGACTTTTAAGCTTTAGTTTCCCTCCTTTCCATCTTGAAGATAATCAGCTTGAGGACAAGCTGTTTCTGAAGAGAGCGGGTCTGTAACAACCCTGTGCAGTTGGCAAGGGATGACGTGGAACTCATTGACCAATGTATAAATAGCAGAACTCACGTTGTGGTGGGGTATCTTTGGAGAATAAACACCTTGTAGCTACTTTACCAATTTGTAGTTAGTAGATAGATAGAAAACCAGAACTCTTCCTTCCCACCTGTATCTTCTTCTTCGTCATTTCTTAGCCGGATTCGTTAGTAAAGGTCCTTACACTGCTCTGCTGGCCGCATTTCGCCGCCGTCGTTTCATCGGGGTTCTCAAACAGGCGTATCACGCCATTGTTCTTGAACACCCACACTCCTGACATGATCGATCGAGGGACGACGACGATGATGATATGATGGTCTCCTGTGTGTTTTAGTTTGATATGGGAATACGGGTTTTGTGGATATGCAAAGCCACGTCACTCACCGCGAAATCCTCGAGTTTCGACTTCGAGCTTTGGCAGGTATGCATCTTCGACGCCGGAAGGGCTCTCCCCTGACCACGGCACCACCTGATTCAGATCCCCACCTTCCTCATCCGTATAGTACTCATCGTCGAAAAAAACCCTCCTCCTCCATAGTCGTCGTCGTCGTCTCCTCATCTTCCTTGACTTCGAACCACGCTTCTCTCGATCGGGTAGTCACCGCCGTGAACGGCAAAGCAAGAATCGCAGAGTGAAATATGTGGCCCAGCTTGGGACCAGAGGCCGTCCAAAGAGTGGGGAAGTGACAGACATGGCAGAGAAGGATACAGGAATGCTTGGCCACAATGAGGTGGAAAATAATAATTATTTTATTTTATTTGAACTTTTTAATTGCCACGTCACTCATTTAACGGTCAACTATGAGAGTTGATCGCTATATTAGCAAAAATTAAAGTAGACTAACGGCCAGTGACCAAACTTGGAAATTTAACCTAATTTAAGTGACTATGAATAGAATAAAGTAATTCTAGTGGCTAACGTGAACTTTACTAATAATTCAAGTGACCAAACTTGCAATTTAGCCATAAAAAAGTGCAATTTGTGTTGTGAACTATTCAATATTTCATTTATATCCTAAACTATTTTTCCGTTAAAATTGACCTTATTTGACCTTTAGTTTTTAACAGAAAGTCTAGTTAACTCTGATGTGGCCTCTGAGTTGGAACTTTTAATTATTTTGTCATATAAAATTAATAAAATAAGAAAAACACAAAAGTTAATTTCTATCTTTCATTCTCTATTTTTGTAGGCCATCCCGTTGGAGAAGAGACGATTGCGGCGAGACAGAAATCCCCCAGTCCGTCAAGCTAATTCAGTCATAAGAAATCTTTGATTTTCCCCGTCGAATCTCCTCCGCTCATCCGGTCTTATTCCGTTGTAAGACATATTTTCCCTCATCTTCTTCCTCCGATTCCCTTCGATTGAAGCCCGATCTGGAAAGCACCGAACCTCCCTTCTGACCAGGAAGCTCCTCGGCGTCATTCCCCTACGCCTCGTCGGCGCTCAGCGATGGTTCTGTCAGAGATTTTGTAGAATGTCCAGACATACTGAACATGGGGCTTCATCCATTCTTTTCCCTATACAACGGTGGCGGTTAGGGGTGTTCAAATGGTTACCGTGGTAATAACCAAATGAATTAAGCTTAAATTTCATTAACCATGGAATAAAATATCTTAACCAAACCGTCCAAATTAACACGAAAACCAAATTAACCAAATCAAAGTTTAATTGGTTTGGTTAATCGGATAACCGGATTAACCAAATAACATAACACTACATGAAAACAATTATCTTGTCAATGAATAAAACGTAACTATACGTTATTACTATCATAAATTATCATTATATATAAGCAATAATAATAAGACTAACCATCCATGATTATCATCATCATTTGAGTTAATACATCATTCATCATCTCTGCACCTAATATAGTTAGCTTACAACAAACCCTTAACATAAATAGTAAATACATACCATACCACTCATTAGGAAGTTAAAGCTCTCCTACAGAACACTTAAACTATACATAGTTTGAGGTGTTTGTCATGGTATTGTACGTAATACTAACAGCCTGTTTGGAAAGGCTAAATTTTGAGGAAATGGAATTCTAATTCCCAAACTTTCCATGATTCTCATGTTTGGGAGTAAAAAGTAAAAATGAAATGGAATTCCAAAAGGCAAAAAGTTGGAAATTCTAATTCCTACCAAAAGTGGTCGGAATTGGTGGAGGGAGTGATGGAATT